TACTCACATCTGGGTAGTTGTTTCTGATTGGCTGGACTTAACTATTAACGAACATTGGACTTTGATTTTCAAAATCGAAATATTATTATCTTGACACGTGATGTTCATTGTAAATTTTACTTTTCTCTATCCTTCAAACTACTAATTTGTCGATGCAAAAATGTTTCTGATGTAATGCAGGTTAAAATATCCAATTGAACAAATTAAATCATGCAACAAGGAGTTGGAAAAAACGTATTACAGCATAATACAGTGGCCTGGCTAAAAATCTCTAAACCATAAACATTGTCAGAGATATGGAAAACTAACTTTATATTATTCATTAAATTAATTAAGAGGCAATTTTTTTCTATGTCACGTATTTGCGATGAAAAGTGTTCAAACCGAAAATCGTTTTGACGTACATCTCAAAATTGCTTTGTTTTAGCTTTATTCTCTAGTTTACACAGTTAGCCAAATTTTGAAGTGCATTTGCATGCCGGTTGAGAAACATAAAATAATAGCAAAAAATTGTCAATTAAAATACAATTATCAATGACGCTTTAAAAGTGACGCCATATTTGCAGCAATATAAGCCAAACTTGCTGAACTTCAGACATCATTTTCTCTTTGGCGTACCATCTAAAATCTCTTCACTTTGGCATTATTTACAGATAAAGGACTAAACATACATTTTAATTAAGTTTGTTTGCCGATTGAGAAAAGTATCGAAAAATAAAAAAAATTGGATTTACAGTCATAACAGCAAGTGTTATTTTACACTCATTAGTTTTGAGCGTGTGTAACGTAACATACAAAAAAATCTCCTCTCAATATATGACGCTATACGACTCGTGAGTGTAGATTTAAAATACATATAGCGGGCCATGTATCCATATATAATGAACATTATGCAGGCAAAGATACAAGTCAGTCTTAATGTCTTGACTCTTGAAGAAAATAAAAATAAAGGAAATAAGCGGTAAAAGCAGTGCCGTAGCCAGATCGATAATTGGGGGGGGGGGAAATATTCATTTATTCGTGTTCTGCTTTATTAATTTCTTTTGTAATCAATTGTTTTTATGGTATGTGAACACGAATATATGAATATTTCCCCCCAATTATCTGGCACTGGGTAAACGGTTGAAGCAAAAAGGTTATAGAGTGTTTCAAACTGTAAAACGATATTTCATATGTATATATATATGGCTATCCGAAGAACAGAGCTGGCCGATATAGTCGCATTTTTCGCAAAACCCCTTCAACAATTAGTTACGTCGCGTGAGATGCCCAAAATCCTGAAAAAGAACGAATAATGTTGAACTTGATCACGAAATTCACTACGTTTATTATGTAATGATTTTTATAGTCCTATATATACAATGTTTCAGGTTTAGTATTAATTTCAATAAGTTGCTTGCATGAGCAATGATTAGGAACTAATTACAGTTTATTAACATCATTCTAGCTTTGTATAGGATAAACATTTTCTTGACTCGACGAAAGTGAATTTTAAAGTTCTTTAAATATATAGGAGCTAAATTATCTAGGATATTTTCATGATTATTTTTTAAGCTCGGCGCGGCTTAGCACGGGCTAATTACCAATTGCATGCCTAACAGGGGCGCCGGAAAGTCGATAATTTGGGGGGGGGGCAGATATTCATATATTCATGTTCACAGACTGTAAAAACAATCGCTATCAAAGGAAATAAAAATTATGCAGAACATGAATATATGAATATCTGCCCCCCAAATTATCGACTTTCCGGCGCCCCTGATGCCTAATAACTGAGACCATGCATCATACAGCTTGTGTTGACTAAATTATACAATTGACACTTTATAAGAATTAAAAGAAGATACTAACTAAGTATCTTAATATAGGCTAATATGCTTATGGTTGTATGTACATCAGGGGTAATGAATCTACATTAGATTTACTATGGACACGCAAGATTGTAGAAGTCCCTAACACGGATCGGACATGTTTGCATAGCTATTTCAAAACAAGTCCTATAGGAAATTTAATATGTTAATCATGCACTCATGTGTCTGTCTATATGCATGCGTTAATGATTAATTTTATATACAAATCAGCAATATGCTTTTCTCACGTTTCAGCCATGTTGGAATGGAAAACGAGACAAATTACGCAACGAAGAATACAATTTGATTGCCTCCGCTTTTTTGCTGTTCGTGCGTTATTAGCCTCGTTTTAATTCCAACATGGCTGACACACGAGGAAGACCCATATGTCATGTTTTAAGATCTTCATTCGTGATAAGCTTTGCATTTCATAGCTTATGAGCTGTTAAAGTTCTGAAAATGTTACTCACATGCATGGCCGTTTCCACTCCGCAGCAGTATACGACAAAGTTACTCATCTTAATTAATGCATAGTTAAATACGTGCAGGTCACCCTGGATTATTTTCAGAATCATCGTATTTTCTACATTAATTCTCATTATCTTGGGGCAAAGCAAGTTGGTATATTTTAGGGCAAAACATGAGTTGTTTGTTTAAACTAGTAGCAACATTATTATTATTATTTCGAAAGTGGAGGGGGATTGGCCAAAAGGGGCACTTTTGTATATGACTAAAATCAAACGATTTTATGTCGTCGTTCACGAGCTGAACGAAACGTTTTGAAAATATGGAGTCTTTATAACGTCGGAAATGACCTTTATACACGAAAAGGACACTTTCTTTCCGCGTTCATTCAAGAAATACTTTTTTCGTTCTTTAAATGGGGCACTTTAGCCCAGAAAAAAGGGCACTGTTTTCCTTTTGAAAAAAGTGAGGGGGCACGTGCCCCCATTGCCCCCCCCCCCGCCTGGTTCCGCGGCCCCTAATGTTACTCACAGTGGCGTATTTCGTCTACATATCTTTCAACATTTCCTCTCATTGGCTGTTTTATTAACTTTCAAAAACTATTAAAAAATCGCGTCGCGTTGTCAAATCGCCTTCGGTGTGTCTGGTGCGACTAACTCCAAATATAATTTTTGGTATGTGTAATGAATGAATGATAATATTTATTCAGGAAACCAACATCACGAGAAGTGTCTTTCAGATGGTTCCTGCAAAACATTAAAATACAAAGTATAGAAAAAAAAATTATATAGTGTGCGTGCAGTATTTACATATTGGTATATGGATATAATATACCGGAAAAATTATGAGACTTTAGGATACATAATGCTATACATATTTACAAGGATACAAAGAGTTTGTAAGTTATATTTTAAATATACTGTATGGGTATTATAAAGATAGAGATTTGAGAATATAATATTTGGGTCATTCTGAGAAGAAATGTAATGTATCTTTATAGTAAAAACTTGGTCAACTTTTTCACTGTCAAATTTCCGGATATGATGTCATTAGGTGAATTTTTGGTGCAAAAAACAAAGTAAAACTGGTTTGCAATTCACCTAATGGCACTTTGACAATGAAAAAGTTGATCAAGATGGGATTTTTTATTATAAAGATATATTATTCATTTCTTCTTCGAATGACCCAGATATTGCACATACCAAAAATCATTCTAGTTAAAAATATTATTGCCCAGCAAATAACTCGTAAAAGAGGCATATTCAAAAAACATTTGGTATATAAAAAATATTTATTGAGCAACGTTCGTCACATTACAAGCGACAAAATATATGATATACAATTACAAACGGATAAAAAGTTAAAATTAGAAATATACTATGTTCATGGTCTATTGACATGTACAAGACACTGAGATTAGTGAAAGATATAGATTTAAAAAGGAATGTCAAGTGGTTAGCGTCAGTGTTGAAAGATGTTAGTAAATTAGCAAGAGGAAACACCTACTTAGAAGAGTGTTAACGGAAAGGATCGGACATTATTATTAAGCCATGGTTTAGTTTAAACAATTAGTAAGCCAAAAATCATATTTGTGGTTAATCGTACTTTAACTGTTGCACCACACGACTTTACCCTATAAAGGTGACGGCCTTAAAGATGGGGTAGTTCGCGCCAGCGTGGGTTTGTTAGCGATCCAACACTCCACCGGTTAGGACGACAAAGACCTGGTTATTATCAGGGGAGTTCAGGGTCTGGGTGTGGGTTGAGGTACTCAAAGCTGGGTGGATGCACCTGTATGATGATACATGCATGCACATCATAGAATCAGCGAAGGCTGTATGATGCTATAGATCATAAAATCTAAAATATCTTAAAATATAAGGGACCATGCAGTCGAAAGAACAAGTAAAAAGAGCATTCGTCACTGACCATCGAATTGTTTACCTGGATTGAGTGCTCAAAGACAAAATGTGAAATTATAGCGTCATTTAGGTCCTTGCGTCGAAGAAAGTAGCCGCATACTGAGATTTTCCTATTGTTTATGGGAGGGCGACATATAATTTGAAAAGACTTGTTTAGATTAACTTTAAAAGATATTTGTCGTTTATTTCCATGTATAAGGTTCGAAACAAAATTGTAATTTTGAAAAGGATGATTGTTTCCGTATGTTTATCTAGTTATATTTGTATCGGGTTCGGTTTTATGCGCCTAGAACTTAAAGATCATATGTAGCAACGGACCTAGGACGTACGAGATAGCCTGCTCAGCAGCTCTCAAATTTACGGTTGTCCTTTGAACGAAATTTCGGGCTGCAAGCAGGCTAAGGACGTGACGGCTTGGCGCTAAAATCAGCGGGTCAAAGTTTTTTGAGTCTTAAAGAGGCGATCAAGTCCGTTCAGCGGATGTGCAGTTTGTTTATATATTTTGAAAACACTATATTCATAAAACACAATGCACTTAGTTAATATCTAACATCGTTCTAGTTTGCTGCGCATTTAAATGAATTGAGATTAGAGTTTCAATTTCAAAGATGTCGAAACAACTCGAAATTTGTGCCGTGTTATTTACACCAGAGCAAGTCCTAATGTTTAAGTTTCTTACACCACGAGCGCAGCCTTTTATAAACACACCTATAGACTTTGGAGTAAGGACGTAAGTATTTATGAAATTAAAAATATTTATAAAATATTAATGAAGTGTTGCTTTATCAGTGTCAACGTGGCAATAATTGCCGCTTGTCTCCAAGATTCCCTGGCTTCCTGAATGAGGAGTGGCGGCGTAGGTGGCAAAGGCAGTTGAACACAACCAAATGAAAAAGATAATTTTCAATGATTTGGAAGTTGTCATTCTGACTATATATTGAAGTGGCTTCGTGATCTTGAGATATCGGTCAAAACTGATGAATGTCAGTGTATAAATAGATGCTGCTAACGCGAAGGTATCTATCCACACCATAAAACGACATAGGTGAATGGACATGGTACGTTGGGATTCAACATCCAGACTGTGTCGATACACCCTCAGTGGTACTAAAGTTACACCAACCAAAAGATCAGCGGTAGCCAGACAAACAACAAAATATTTATTTGGTTGATGTAGACTTCTTTCTCTCCAGGTCGCCACCAAAACCAAAGTGTTGCCAACAATTGTACAAATGGCGAAAATAATTAATATAATTTTTTGTGCTAATCCAAGCTCGTCCAGAAATGCATTCAATTTCATCCGATTACTGTCCGTCCATGTACTCGTCTCTGTTGGATTTGTATTATTATACATCACTAGCATTGTTTGACAACGTCACTCCAAAACTTGATCCTAAGGAATAGATAAGAATACCACAGTAGTCAGACAAATTATAACAGTTCAAAGTGCTTCACGTACTCATCAATTCTTGGTGCATTTATAGACTTTTAAATTATTTCAATGTGTTATATTATATAGTTATATCTATAATATGTATGGATAAATTTGCAACAGATCAAAATACTACAAATTAAACAGAATCGAGTATATCTATTATAATAATTGACAAAACGCTTCTAAAGCCTAGTTCTCATTCATTGCAAACTTTCACCGACGATCGGCGACGCTTATCGCCGATGCTCGCCGATCGTGAATGCACGAAAGTTCCCATACATCTGTGATCGTCGCAGATGACAGCCGATGTGTTTCGAAATTTCCCAACAAGGCACAAAATGGCCCCGTTCAACGTAAAGTTCATGAGTTTCTGTCAAACTTCAGTTGATTATTTCCTTGCTTGTTGAGGAAAAAACAACTTTTACTCATTTCTCATAGATTTTTCAAGCAGGTGGCAGTCGGCGATGATCGGCGATGGTGGCAAGAAACAATCTTTTTTGTTTCCTGCGATCGATGTCATCCCCGACGGTCGGCGACGATCACGGACAATCGGTGATATAGTTTTTGATGTGTTCTCATAAATCGCAAGCGGTCGCCGAAGTCGCAAAGTTCCCATCGCCGACGGCTTGCGATGAATGAGAACTAGGCTTTAGTCCTCGTGCAGACAATATACAAATACAAACCGATGCCGTTGCCAAAGTAACTTACGTGTTTATTTGATCAATTTCTATAGCTAGTCGTAATATGGTTATGAGTGCCATTTGGAAAAGCATGCGCGAGTTATAGTTTTTAAAAGACGATCAAAATTGAACGAGTCTGAAGGAGGAATGCAATTTGAAATCTTCCAGAAACTCACGTATACTAGTGTTTGGTTCTGCAAATTGGACGATAAACCATACTATTACTTACTAATGATATACATGAAAAAATTATGCAGAAGCAAATTAATGGTTTCCTGCAAGCAACACATGCGAAATAAATAATGTATAGCCCAGTGCCTTTTTTAACGATATATCTGGGGGGGGGCAATTGCCCCCCCCAGGGAAAGAATTTGCCCCTCCCCCAGTAAAGCCATTTCTGCCCCCGAAGTGCGAAGCAGAATTGCTCATGATTGCTGTCAGAATTGCAGTTGATTTACTTGATAATGAGATTATGCCCTTCCATAGCCTCGTCCACAGCCATCTTGTGTGTAATTATTCTTATATCACACTTGTGTCGGTTTTCTTTGATCGTCCAAGGTTTATAACTAGCTTATAGACCTTGAATAAATAATTGGATTAAACTTGTGGACAAAACGCGAGAATTTTTCATTAAAAATTTTTGAAAATGACAAAATATGTTAGAAAACATCCACAAGTGTCATATAAGTTAGTTATAAACCTCGAAAGTCGGTTTATAACTAATATATTGCCCTCGGAAGCTACGCGTCCTCGGGAGCAATATATCAGTTATAAATCTCCTACTCGGTTTATAACTCTAACATATTGTTCTTCACCGAGTATTTCACAACAGCGATAGATTTCATGCAAACAATCCGATAAAATGCTAGCCTTTCCTTTCGACTATTTCCTAGCACTCTCCTCCGCAGAGGCGTTTGTTTTGTTTTGGGCGGATTAATTGCAAAATTTTTTGCTTAAAAATATCAAGTTATATTAAGAGCCCCTACCCCAAACCCACTCTCTCAGGAACATGAGGAACCGCACTAGGTGCGAGAAAATTAAGGGTGAAGTGTCTGTTGCCATAGAAGTTGTTAATTAGGTTTGACAGACACCAATTATAGGCTATTAATAAGAGGAGAAGAAACTTTGTAATGCAATACATCGCTTGGTGTAACTGTTAAATATTAAGACATGTATTTAAGTTATTAACGTACAATATGGTTTGTTTACGCTGTCATCACTTTACAAGGAAACTACAAATTATACTGTTTTGCAACAAACGCGCCAAATTAGAATCATCAGTGTCTGGTGTACGTAGCTGGCTTGGCGAATGCATGACAAAAGATGCGGTAATGTATTACCGTGTATATTCGCATTGTTTGGATCGAGCCAGATAGAAATTGGTACGCTTATAATTACTGCTTGCCCGGTTCAAGCATATCAAATAGGAATAATGGCAATAATGTTTCCAATAACAACTGCAGTACAGCCGAACCTCTTACATCTCATCTCGGGCACCACGTGGTGTTGTCCTGACTTGACATTGTACATGATAACTGTATCTAATGCGTTTCCTTGTTTGTCACGGCCACCGATGACAACGATGTTGTTTCCCCATCTCACAGTTGCCATTTCACTCACTTCATACGGCAGTGGTGACAACTGTTTACATTCGTTCTTCTTTATATCGTACAGTACGACACTGCTGACGCTGTCTTGGTATCTGGAAGTTGTTGTGCCCCCAACGATCAACAAACTGTCGTCAAATCTTTCCATGGAGTGAAACTGTCTTGGTTCTGGCATTCTTGATAAGGTCTTAACCGTACATGGCGGCACAAGCTGGACTTCGTGAATACAGTCAGATGCTGCATTTCCATTTTGACCACCAGAAACGATCAAGTGATCATTATACAGCACACTGCTGTGGCCTGCCAACTCAGGAGGCAGTTCAACAGGACAGTTACTCCAGTGCATTGCAAGATCAGGGTTTGGATGGACATTCATTCTAATCATACCATCGACAGGGTGAGAGCAATAACCTCCAGCAATTGTCACGTGATTGTGGTAAAGAAATGAAGTTGCTCCATGACGCTTATTTGGCAGGGATTGTAATGGCGACCATGTTCTTTGATGCCAGTCAAACATCTCTACAGAGCCAGTCCCCCATCCTCCAGCAACAATTATATTCTCCCTGTCACCACTTGGTGTATTTCTCACTTTCCTTGTGTTTTCTTTTATCTTATCATCCATCTTGATAAGAACATCCTTCATTTCAATAAAGGCGTCAATCAGAGCTTCCTGGAATCCTGTTACTTCATTGTTGACTGCTTCGAGTTTTTCTTCCATATCTGCAGCGTTTCTCTCCGCACTCGCAGCATTTGTCGCCATACTCTTCTCTATATTCTTCATGTTGGTTTCCATGGTAACCACGTTTGTCGCCATATTCTTTTCGAGATTCGCGATTTTTTCCTCCATGTCTGTTAAAGTTTTTGTCATTTCTCCGCACGAGTGGATCTTCAGTTTTCGAAATTCACAAACCTCGCTTTCATGGTGGAAAAGATCACGCTGGTTTAAAGTCGCACCACAGACTTGGTTTGTACATATGGCTGGTGTAAATCCGCAAGTAGCTTCGTGGCTGACTAGATGTTGCAATTGTAGGATCTCTTGACAACCTCTGTCGACGTAAACGCAACGAATATTTAGTTCATTTAACATCCGTTTTACCATTCTTTGCGGTTCGGCCAAAGTCTCTACGGTCAGTTCGTCTGAACACGTAGGGCATCTTTGAGAATTCTCAAGGTATTTCGTAATACAACCACGACAAAAACAGTGGTGATTATTCTGACACAGAACAGGGTCTTCAAGAACGTTAGAGCAGATTGAACAAATGAAATTTCGATCGATTGTGGTCGCAAACCTTTCCATGTCGAGTCCTTGTATGTAAGATGCCATACTTCACGCTGTTCGTGTTTCGCAATAATAAATAAAGGTGCTGTGTTTGTGTTGCTCTCTTAATCCCTTTGTGGCGTAACCTCGCTACATAGATTGAATGTTTGTCTTGATGCAAATACCAGTCGTTTTTCTAGTTGTCTGTATTAGTATTTGCTCGAAATCTTCAACAAAATTACGTGCCTAAAGCAACAGCCAAATATCGCTTCCGCGTCTTTGCCATACAGGAAGTTGCTAGTATGAAACAGAATATCGGTGTCGTGTGAATAAAGCTCATCACCTATCCGTGACCAAAATTTACTGGACAAAAATTTTCGAATTTCCAGGGCAAAAATTAGGGGCAAATTGCGATCAAAAACAAACATTTTCAAAACATACTAAATCAAATGTCACCGAAATGCATGTTAAAACACCAAAATTTTCAATAATACGAGTTGATGACCACCCTAATCTAATTTACATATATTGCGCTAACAACAATATCTCTCTTCCCGAATGCCATATTGTCATTCGACTTCTGAAATGTTCGAAGCATTCCGAATGTAAAATTATGTACTGTATGACCGTGATATGAATATTATTCTGAATACATCAAGTAATCATATCAGTTGAATATAATACGAGGTGATGACCACCATTATGGTCATTGGTAAACAAAACTTCAGTCTATGATTGCGAAGGACTTGCTTGAATTAATTTGGCGAAAGCGTACTTGTCTGTTGGTCAAAACACACAAATAATCTTGCGAAGAATTGAACGAAAATTATAATACAGACTTTATCCACATCGATATTCCGATATTACTAATGAAGACATTTTTGTGAGCCTAAAGTAGAACTGAACGGCCATTCGTGCAAGACAACAAAGGCTCGCCATTTTGGCATTTTCATAAGACGCGAGCTCTGTCATTTATATGAACATGTCAGCCCCGTCCAATTCCAAGCGAGTCTTATTTAAGACCCACGACACGCATTTTTTACTGTTTATACGTCAAGTTCGCGTTTTATGTAAATCGCGACTTAATTCGTTTTGTATAAATGGCCCTAAGTTAATAGGCTAAATATGAATATGGGTGGCAGTGCAATTTCATTCACACACCAAACACATAATCTCTGTGACAACGTTAGTGACCTCAAACATGGCAGGTCTTTTACAAACTACAATACAAAAATACTACAGTCACTTCAGCACAGAAACTCCAATCTTTTGTTCCTTCTGTTAACGCTTTATATCAAGTTTAAAAAACAAGCAGTAAGAACTAATGCTACATCTGTAATTTTTCTTACGCTTAATTGTCGCTTTTGTAAATAGTTTCGCATTTCATGTAATCTTACATCTTACGTCACTTCAGTTCCTTGTACCCATATTAAAACATTGAAGCACAGTCTGTAAATATTCAGTTGCTTTGACAATGACTAGAAAAATATCACTGGAATTTTGTGTCTTAATGTTGAGTTTACAAGATGATAAATTCGGAGTTTGTTTTGTCTTACATTATCAACATGAGGTGATGACCTTCGATCACAGGACACCGAATACATTCGAATCTATTTCAATCTAGCAAATTACTGTCTGGCAAAGACGCAGAAGTGATATTTGGCTGTTGCTTTAAATATGTAATTTCTTGAAGATTTGAAGCAAATGTTTCAAATGAGTGTCGTCTTTGCATGGTCTATGATTGCGAAAGATTCCCTTGAATAACTATCAACTCGAAATGTCTCTAAGTCTTGAAATGTTTCTAATGGATCGATTTTAGACATACTTGCCCGTCAACTGAAATTCCAATCTGCATCGCAAACAACCATTTGCTTATCTAATTACCTAAGCACTTTTTTCTTATTCTTAAAAATTTCAAAAAATATGTAGGCATGAATGTCTTACCTTACACGCGTATTCAACGCGCGATTTACAGAAGTTGTTGAAACGACATGTTTGACTTTGTGTTGAGCCAAGATAAGTACGGAAATGTACTTGATTTTCAGGTCCGGCCGGCGTTGCTGACAAGTTGAGGTCGTATTGATAAAATCCCAGATCAGAGCTGGACAACGTGAGGCGGCCTGTCACATCACCAGATTTTAACGGAAGGTAGTCGAAAGTAAAACATCCCTACAAAATATACCATAAGGTGAGATACAATCCGTCACCTGGTTTGAATTATTGTTGATGTCTTTTTATTTTCTGGGTATCCTAAAAATTCCTAGTTGACATGTGACATGACATAACAGTGATACAATGAGCGATGAATTTGCGGCATTTGTTATTTGCGCTCAATTGAGACATCTTCATTGTCGCGTTGAGAGCTCTGCCTTTGGACAAAAATAACCTATACAAAATTCGGTGATTCATTCTGTTCTAAACGGCCATCAAACCTGACAAAATTTATGGAAGGGACTTTTGATCGAATAGAAGGACAACGGAGTTTTGACCGAATATGGGAAAACCGCCTGCGTTGGTTATTTGTGATTATTATATGTGTGTTTATACCTGATACCTATGTCTACATAAACTTTACATTAACAAATTGATTTTTAGTGTTTTTAGTGTTTTTACCGGTTTTATACTCGCAGACTCGAAATACTCGCGAGTGCAGCGAGTGATCTATTTTGCGAGTGAAGCGAGTATGTCTTGCCAACATGATTTGCGCGTACTCGCGAGTAGCGAGTCAAGCGAGTACTCGAACGACTCGCGAGTGACTCGCGCGTACTCGCTACGCGCGAGTCGAGTGTATGTTACTCGAGGACGGTACTGTAATTACAAAGTGAAAGTGCTCGTTTTAAATGCTATTGTTTCTTCCTTGAAAGTTTCGAAACAAACCGGGATATATACGTAATGGACAATTTGCATAACAGGCTAAATTCTGCTCTGGGCAAGAAGAACAAATCATCTATATCATCACAGCTCGAAAGATCATCTTAAAATTAGTGACACTGCAAAGTTTGGTTGGGAAATGTTGTGAAATACGGAAAATATTTCATAGTAAAACACTAAAACACTTGTTGGAAGTTTTACTCATTAACTGTATCATCGACTCCGTTTGGGACCAAGGGGTAATGGTGCCATTAAAGTGTGTTGTTTGCTAAGTACCGTAGCTCAACAAATATCAAACGTATTTATAGGCAAAGATTTTGGTTCCATTTGGATAGAATGGTGAAAAAAATATAAACACCAACGTTTGAGGAGGTCACCAAACCCCCTCTCCAATTTGACAGCGATTTTCGAAGGAACGAAGTATTTCTTATAATGTTTACAAAGTTTGTAGTTTACACAACGTAATTTTATTATCGCAAAGCTTTCGATCCGTAAGCCCGGATCTTCATCAGTGCCAATAATATCTGACTTGTTCTAATTCAGGTTTTTTTTTATTTAATTGAAGTATTTTTTATTGTTCTGAACAGGTCTGGAATGCGACTATTGCAACGTGAAACGAGTTAATGCAGTTTCCTTTGGTTGAAGAAAACTGGATGTTTTATGTTGATCTATGTTCGGCAACAACATTAACGTATCCCTATCAATGATGCAGTAATGCATCAATACATGTTACAGTTCATTCACATTTGATGACTCGGGTCGGTTGTTCGTAGCCCGTTTGGCCTAAATGGTGGATGAGTCCAAAAGATCGAGCAAAACATTGTATAATCAAAACAAAATTTTTCAATCTGAAAAGAACACTTATGTACAAAACTACATAATTATTAAGTGTTTAAATTTTATGTTCAGTTTTTTATAAATCCAAGACGAATGGGAGTGAAATTTAAATCTGACTTTTCCGCTGTTTAAGCTACGAACAACCGGCCCCCAGCGCATTAGTATCTCGCACACTATAAACAAATTGTAAAAGTATTTGTCCAGAGAACTATATTCTGACCTTGCTTCGAAGAAAAACCGACCTAAAATAATTTCTTACCTCTGACTGTGGTGGCACAGTGAAATTTGGTGGAAGCAGAATATCCGATAACGTTGAAGCAGTTGAAAAGCTGACTTGCGCAGTTAATGGATTGTACAAGTTGATGACGTAAGATGCGGCCTGTCGCACTGGTGTTGTCATGTCAATAGTTGAAATAATTCCTGGCGGAGTAGCCTTGAATGTGATGTAATAGAATAAATACTCCGACGTCTGTTCATTTTTAAAGATCACCTGAAACGAGAAGAAAAAATTTAAAAAAGCTGATCACTATCACCCTAGAACTGTACTTCCTAAAACCCTGTGATTTTGTCGATCGTTTTTTTTCAATGTGATCCGTTCAAGTGTCGCAAGATCCAATGGACCATTCCCATTAGAAACTAGACGAAAAAACCCCACGAAATTCTCGAAAAGAACAAAAATGTGAAAGCAATTTCCGCACGTAACACAACATTTACAAACCTAATTTGTAACGCTATATCTTCCACACATTACAACAACAACTTACGACAACCAACTTTTAGGATTTTACCACATTTGTAAGGTCCTTTCCGAAAATCTCGTTTTTATTGTTTAGATCAAAGTTAGTCTATAGTGATTGTTCACTAAGTCAAAAATAAATCATCCTATAGGCCTATATTCTCACACTTGTGCTGACCGTCTATCCAGGAGCAGCATCAAGTACACGGGAAAGGAAAATAAAATCACGGCTTGCGGTGCACAAAAGTTCTGACATGTGTACTGATGGAAAAAATGAGTCCGACTGAAAAAAGTAGTGTTTCGTACACACAGCCAGAAAATTTAGTCAGAAAAAATTCATCATTCTTGTTCATCCATATTTTACAAAAATGAAAGTTGTCATGAGAACGCAATTTGTGCAGTTAACATTTTATCAGATGTAGCGTATGTAGCGTACCTTAGCGCTAAACAGTCCTTCCTTGTGGGCATAGAAGTCAATTTTGTGATCCTTTTTCATCTGTCCTGGAACATCGATGTATTGAAGAGCTTTCAAGGTTATTAATTATATATGTGGTGTGGTTTATTCAAATAATTTCACGATACTTTGATTTTATTAGCGCCTTAAACATTTGAGAATGTAACTCTGCAAAACTAAAAGCTTTTTTGTCTTTTTTGAAACGTATATTATTGGAGTATTGCCTATTGGCAAGTTCTACCCTTCGCTTCTGAGATTTACAAACTATATTGAAGTAAAAAATAGTGACAACTTATAAGCCACACATTTTCCAATAACGACAAAACGTGGATGCAAAACAATACCAATAATTACAATAACCACCACGGTGATTACTTTTTAACAATGTGTTTAAGGATTAACACTGAAAATGCAAAATATGCATGGTGTGCTGTGAAGCGTCATAAGTCCTATTGATCCACTGTAACTGTGTAAGCCCTTTCGATACATATAATTGTAAATTTGTATTCTTACAGGACTTGAAATAACATTCCCAAAGTTCCCGATCATAGTGATCGGCAGTTATAACTTTCCATGCTTTTTTTCAGGTTGGAAACCAAAACAATGCTTTTCCGCCGCTCATAAGCAATTCCTTGCCGATCATTGATCGGTGATCGGTTGTTATTTCAAGCTCTGTCCTAACAATTTTGAATTGATGCTAATTTCAAATAAAGCCATGTAATAATTATCCCATGCAACTGTTAGGAAGGGCAAAATTTTGAACAAAAATCCTAAAGAAAAGGTGAAGTTTCTAAAGGGGGGCGAATTTCCTAAAGGGGGGCGAAATTCCTAGGATTTTCGCCCCCCTGGGGGGGCGATATTCCTAGGAATTTCGCCCCCCGGGGGGCGAAAATGTAGGGGGGGCGAAAATCCTGGGACACCGGCTTTATCATCTCAATAATTACACGGAATCTAGAAGGAAAGTTGCACGTATGCGAGGTCGGTTAGTTTAGTTGTTAAAGCATCAGACGTTTAGTCTCAGGCCCAGTGGTTCGAGCAATGAAATACAGACATAGAATCCGTGCTCATATCTGTCCTCAGTCGAAATTTTGGATCCATAAGTAAGCCAAGCTTTTGGAGCCAAGTAAGGACAATTTTTTAATTTAGGTAAGGGCCAATTTTGTTTCTGCTTTTGCAGTCTATTGCGGTACATACATATGGCATTGGTTTTCTTTCAACAAAAGCACTCGACCACTCGCTCCTGGCTAAATGCGGCTATGTAAGCGCAAACATGAAGAGTGGAGACATGATTTGCGACCAAGTACGCATTCTATATCTATTATTTCGATGGGTTCGAATTCCCTATCCGTCTTGGTAACGTTTTTGATGGTGACAAAAATGACAATGGTATAATCACAACATGGTGGCAATGACAGTAATGTTATGGTAATGATGGTGTGGCACGGTCAGGGTGTGGTGATAATTCACTAAGTGGTAGAATTTTGTCGTTGACATATTATAAAATCATCTGACAATAGACTGAGTAAGCGCATTCGTTGACATTTCCTGTCCATTTTCATGCTGTAGTTAGATTGTTGCGGAGGAAGCAGAATCATCTATTAGCTTGTTTATAATAACCTGAATACTTGAAAAACGAATCAAATAGAAATATACTCCATGGTATCAATTCAGTGAACTGTTACAGAAACTAGTGTATACGTAGAATTAATGAGGTATTCTGCTTCACCCTGCAATCTAAAATGTCATTTGGTTGTGTCTCTCGTACTATGTAAAGGGACGCTGTAATTGGCGAAAGCTGTTTCGTATGCCTACTCATGTCAATGTATATATTGTTTTTGTATGTGTGTTTAGCTATTGTCTTATGTTCATTTGACAAAGCCTAATAAATATAATTCGCATTTCACTTCTAAGGTCTCAGGTTCGACTCTGAGTGGGGAGCTTTCTCGATGTGACCCAATACCTGGTTCTTATGTGAAAAAAATGAAATTAACACTTTTCGTACGTTTTGTCGTGGTGCCCCCGCCCGTCACAAGCTCCTCTCCCCTCATAGGGAAAGTTGACAGGAGTGAGTGGTACGGGCCCACGGTAATTCACGCGTATGTTGTCATGGTGACCGTGCCCACATTGGTGAAACATTTCAACAAAATTAAATAAAGAAATTTAAGGAATTATAGTTGGGTTGATGGGTAAGCTACAATTATGCCGCATTCAGGTAAAGAGGAATAAGGAATATTCATGTAGGATATGACCTAGGCCGCGCGTGGATGCAAAAGATTGGAGGGCAATTTATTAATTCACGACAAATGGTGGTATTATTCAATAGTACGTTTGAAGTGTTAGTACCTTTGAGGTTTCTTCAACCAGTTGCTAACTGTCAATAATTCAGTGTAGTCAGTTTTGCATGGTATATCTCGAGCAATATTACTGATGGCTTTAGGCGCTTCAGATACTCCAGTCACGTTGTACAACAAACCATTGCCATCGGGTAGAGCGAAGAATACGGAGCCCTGTGGAACGAAATAACAATGGCAAACATTGCATTAGAGGAAAAGGTTGAAGAGTATCATAGTATGATGTAGTATAAATGAATCAAATACTTAAGAGACAAACAAAAATATAAGAAGTGAAGTGCACATGCAGCCAACTAGAATTCTGTATATTTTGTGATGTTTACCTATAGGGTAAAAGGCATGTAGCCAAACGGTGGATATACCTTTCTGCACGAGCAATTTTTCTGTGACAATTTTTATTTACCCGTGTAGAACTGCAAAATTGGGCAATTTCTGTGAGGCAAATACATTTTTTGAAAAACTGGCGTATTAACTTTTATGTGCCAAATAAAATTTGCCACATAAAATTTGCTCGTGTAAACGGGGCTTAAGTAAAAAATATCAATGAAACAAAATTATAGATTACAAGCAAACTTAACTTTTCTGTCTAAACATAACAATTATGCATGAAGTTCAGAAAAATTAGGTGCAACTGTTTACAAAATAAATAGGAGCGATAATTTTGCTTATGGACCGTTTAAGCTAAACGCCTTTGATACAACCTAGCTTCGTTACAAATGTTCGGTTGAGGAAACACGCGGTCAGCACATTTATCATTAATCTACTCATTCACATCCATCAAAGAGAGGAAATTGCGCCCGGGAATGGCAGCAATAATTGCAAGTGAAAACGGGACTGATTGAGAGAAACCGTATCTCCCAGAAAGAGAAAAACCATTCTTCACGTTAGATCAAAATGTTTCTCAACAAAATCCTTATATTTTCAACCTACACGGTAGGAAAAAAATAGGTTTGCACTAATTTTGCAATCAGTGCCAGTTTGCGATTTCATCAAATTTGCAAGGTCGCAAATGTTCTGCAAATTTAGAAACCAAATTTTTGGAGAAAATAGTCACTAGTGCACTTGTGCAAAAGAATGCTAATTTGTGCCAAATTTATCCTATACTCTTGCTTTCTCAAAAGAATTTGTATTGGTGAAAATTTACTTGCCAACTTATTTTACAAATTTTGCACAATAGCACAGTAGACTGATTAGATAACAAACGTTGATGATGTTAAACAAGCGATTTCTTCTTGTTTACCTGCACTCATAACATC